GTCTCTTTTTTATATCATTCGGTTTGTGTTATATGTGGATAGAAAGTGCTCTTTTTAATTAACATTTGGCAAAATCTAACTTCAATTGAAAGAAGAGCATTGGAGATGCTCTAATAAGTCATTGAAGTATTTTGAGAAAAATTGATATTTTGGATTATTTTAATCAGGTAACTAATAATTAGAATTATTCATGTCCATTTGTCCTATAAAATTTTCCCAAATAAAAGTTTGGACAAAAGGACCTGGCAGAGCTGTTGCTGGTCGCTGCCGCTGTCTGATTTCCTACCGCCGTCGAATTATGCCACAAATTTTCAATTTGCATCTATTATACCGTGTACTAATTAATTATATTATGGGTAATTCATTCCTATTTAGGAAAGACTTAGCTTGGACTTCTAACTAAGGAAAAGGAGTGTGTTTTACTAGAGAAATACTTTAAAATGAATTTACTTTTGTTAAGATTAAGGAAATATATTCAAGGTTAACTTAAAATGATATGATTTAAAAGGAGAGACTAAATTAAGAAGGATAAAAGGTCAAATAGACCCTTCATCATTTACAATTCACCATGATGGATAGTGTACTCGGGGGTAGCTTATCCGATGGGTTACTGCGGGAGTAACTTAGAGAGAGGTCAGAGCAAAAGTAGAGAGAGGGTGTATATAGATGTATTGCTCAAAGCGTATTGAGCGTGGTTTACAAATGGGGAAAGGGGTGCTATTTATAGCAGTAATAAATGCTAGATAGGGACATGTGTCATTATTCTAGTGCTCGAGGGGTCACCTCAACGGGGTGGCACTGGTACTCGCATGTGGCCGCATTAAATGCGGTGGTTGGATGTGACGTTTGTACTTGGTACGTTGATCCAGCGCATGTGGGTGGGAGATTCTGTCGAGGAGATGCCTTCGGCCGTAGATGATTAGCCGAAGGCTCTTCATCCCGAGGGCTCTAGATGCCGAGGGCTACTATTTTCGCCGTTTTCTCCCAGTAACTTCGAGTGCTTAAAAGCAGTTGTACTATAAGTTTATGAGCCTTCGGCCATGGGGGTCGAAGGCACCCAAGTGTACATCGTGGGCTGCTTGGCACTTAGGGCGCTGTGATTTGGGTCTGCTGTGCTTCTTGGGCTTATTGGGCCTTTGTTATGGTAGTGGGAGTCTATGGGCCGGGGGTCCCTGGACCATATACTCCATCACACCATTTAATATCTTATTGCCAACACATGCTAGTTATACATTGTCTTGACATGATGCACATAGAAAAGAATGTATGTGATACTATTATTGGGACACTATTGAACATCCCAACAAAGACATATGATGACAAACATGTGCGGGAACATACAAGAAATGAAAATTCGAGTAAGGCTGTGAGTGAAAGATAAGATTAACAAGGGAAAAAGAAGTCCATGTTTAATGCACGACATTTGTTTTAGAAATCAATCTTTAAATTTTGTATATTATCAACATTTGTATTTATATGATTTGTATGAAAATTCACAACATGGTTTGTCAAATGTTTATTTGTTAACCTTTCTCACATATCATCGGCTTTAGGGCTCATATTCTATGGGGATGCATTTGATCATATGGCCGATGATCAGGTATGGTGTACGTAACTTAATACCGAATATTAATTTGTTTAGCGGACAAAATATTTATTCATTCATATATAATAGATAATTGATCAGATGGATGCCTTATACACCCACTATGTTCGATGAGTTGCCCTCGGCAGGTCGAGAGAATTCCAATACATGGAGAGCACATGTTCTTTTTATTGTTTTGATAGCATTGAGCATCACCTTCCAAATCGCGTGTTGTGTCAATTTGGCTTCGAGCAGGTAATTATAATGTGTATTGGCATGTGCTGACCTTCATAAGATCGATAGGCGAGGGAAGCCTCCAGTGGATTAGTGAGTAAGGCATGTGCAATACATTTTTATGTGAGATAGACAAGCAGAAGTTGTTATGGATTACATGAGATGATATTATATTATCACACGGATGTTCCTATCCCCTTCATTTAGGCTACCTATTCACCAATATCAGCATACTTCGGTTGCTCTACATTGACAGTGAGTACTCTAATAATTTAATCTAACATTTTTTTTATATTTTATGATTTAAATGTAATGCATTTTCACATTTAAAACACGGGCTTTGCAGCGTATCCATGAGCAAGCGGCTGGTACGGTTAGTGAGCTGCAAGATGTTGACACGCACGATGAGGTTATGTCAGGCATTGCTTCGTTATGTGTTGATGTCTTGGGAGAAGTTCACTATGCTCACCTCTTACATATGAGCTCCTCTCAATATTCTATAGCATCCACATCTACAGCAACATCATCTCAGGCTTCTCAGCTAGTGAGTCATGATAGAGTCATTTTTCATCCACATTAGCAATGTATTCGTCCGCGCCCACAACATCCACATGACCTTGATGATGATAAGGATGAGGGCTTCTAGCCTATCTCCATTACATTTATGTTATGAACATCATTTTTTGTATTTAGGTACTTTTGTCAATTTTGTGAAACATCATACTTATTTATGTATGCCAACCTGCAAATGTATTGTGTAATGTATTAATAATGAGTCTTGCTTTGAAAATTCATATTGGTGCATATCATTGAATTGAATCGTTTACAATTTCCCATTTATGAATATGTTTTATATTTTTGTGATATTTTGCTAGTGCATGTTTGTTGGTCCGTAGAAATGGTTCCTTCTTATTGGTCTGTTTAATTGCCTCTTTTGTTGTTGAAGTGGTTGGTTTGTTGTTGTTTGCAGGTGCAGAGACAAAGTTTTCAAATTGTTTAGCGCTTTGTAAGTCGCCAACCTCAATGATGACTTCTAAGTCGTCATTCACATTGGCGGTTTTTCCTAACCATGGTCAGTCCCTGCGATGTATTGGTAAATACTTTTCACCCGACACTATTTTCGAAAATATTTATTTAATTAGTATTATCTCGGGAAAAAAACTCTCCAAAAGAGCTTCGTTTCTAATCAAAATACAAATTATTTCTTAGTTCGAGAAAAAAAAACAATTATCATAATAGAAGCTTTGAGAAGCTTTAGTTCATTACATTCAAATTCTACCTCTAATGTTGATTGGTAAGATGTTCGGATACTTCTCTCTCTATCATAGGCTATCTCATTTTTCTTGGTCGTGATGTCATCTGACGTTCGAAGAAACAACCTAATATCTTCAATTCCACTACTCAAACTAAATATCGGGTCATTGGTTACACAATTGCTGAAACTCTTTGGTTTCGTAAGCTTATTGTTGAACTTTGTGGTCCCATTCAAGCTCTGACATGTGTTTATTGTTACAATATCAGTGTCAATTGTCAAGTACCTCACTACAAATCCAGTTCACCGTTATCATACCAAGCATATCAACGTTGACTATCACTTTGTCTAAGAATAGGTTACTCAAGACGATCTTGTTATTTCCACATACCTACTAGATTACAAATAGTTGACATATTTACTAAAGAACTCTCTGCAGAACCATTTTTATTTCTCAAGTCCAATCTGCCATTTGTAGCCCAACAGATTGAGGGGCGTGTTACCGTATATAGGCATTTACATGTGTATGTAAGCTGCAATCTTTTAATAAGTAATACATTAATAACCCTTGTTGTATACTATAAATATATCACAAAGACATTTACTCGAGATAAGCTTGATGAGTAATCTCACACATCATACACACTAAAAAGATGTGTTTCCTCAACAGCGACAAAACCATAGTACTCTATTCAATTTTCATTTCTTTTGTCAACAAATTATTTCTTCCACGAAGCAATTTAGGAGTCATGAATGCTTCACATGAATTGAAAGAAGATATAATGATGAATAGATGATTGAAATGAAGGTAACGGAGAAAATTATAACTTAATGACTATCATAGTATCATACTATCATAGTAACTTTAGTCACTATGATTGTGTTCAACTTTAGATCATAGTGACTATTTATAGTATCTATAGTAATATTTTTGTCCATAAATTATATTTCATTCATATTCAAGGAAAAACTTCATGAAAGAATTGTCCATAATATAATTAAGTAATAGGGAGTAATTTAAAATGGCGTTGGCTTATCCTATTGACTTTGGAGTTTCTATGTCTAATTTAGCCTCTACTTTAAGCTCTTATGTAGACTAATTTGTACGGAGTAATTATTAAAAATAGATGGTTAAATAATAGGTAATGCTCAATTACGAAGTAGCAAACTGTAAATATATAAAAATATGTTTCAAAAACGTCCGAAAATAGAAATGCAAAACTAATTCCCCAACTAAAGCTTCAATTAGTTCAATAACGACTGAAGTAATTTAGATGACAATAAATTTGTAAGCAAAAATTAAAGCTTCAACAGTTTGATGTATCAACGGAAGTAGGTTGCTTCAATTTGGTTTAGAACAGGCTAGACTCTAGAGGGGGTGTTTACCAAACAAAAACAACTTGGTTTGATTCACTTGGTTCAGTGAATTTATTTTTTGTTACGGAGTACCTTTTTATTCAGTTTGGATTCTGTGGAACTTATTAATACGTTTGGACACCATACTATCTATTAAAGCAATAGAAAACAATTCTGACTTAGCAGATTCTACTTATCTATCATTTCAAAGCCGAAAAATTATCAATAGCCTGGAATGGGGTTCAATGGGAGTTAGGCCGGCCAGTCATCCTTAGATAGTACTCCCCTCCGTATCACAATAATCGTCTCATTTTCCTTTTTTGGCCGTATCAAAATAAGTGTCTCACTTTCATTTTAGGAAATAATTCCACCCCAAAAGCAGCTGCAATACACTTTAATAAAGTAAACAGTACTGCTGCAGGAAATAAACTCTTACTTTTTCAAAAAGTGTACAATAATCCCATAAGTTATCTTAAAATACGTGAAAAATGGACACTTATTTTAATACGGAGGGAGTATCTCATTGACACGAGTTCAAGATTTAACATCTATTGCATATCACAATAACCAGGATTGAGGAAGAGTAGAAGAACATTTACTAATCAACAGTAAGAGCCTCCAAATTCCACATCTCTCAACAAAATCTCATATTGAAAAGTTCTACATGTTAAACAAAATCCCATCCCTGGTACAGATGTACAAAACATAAATTATATTTAGAGAAAGAAGGGTTTCTGGTAGAGCTTGAAATGATATTTTCCTAAGAATGGATAACATGGCATTACTCGTGGAGTTGTGTATATGAGGTTCCTTCATATGAGTTACATACCTAAGCAACCACATTTACATACTTCAGTCGTCATTTATCCGCTTTCTCTTGGACAAGTTCTTTGATCTTGCATTAGCCGTGCTGGAATAGATTTCATTTTCCTGCCGTGTATGAATCAACACACACGACTTATTCTTATAGTAACAATAACAGCATACACAACATCGGCAAACAAATCAGGGTACTTTTACCTTTCGTGATCTCTTTCCCTGCCGCCCATGCGTCTTGAAACGTTTTTTCTCCTTTCTTAGGCGCACTTTCTTTTCCTATGGTATAATAATATTTTATTACTACACATAAAGTCATCAATAGCAATCTATATACAACAAAATTTAGTAACTCCATCCCATGTTTACCCCAATATTTGACTTTGCATCTACGTTTTATTATTCTTTGACTTTTCACCCCATAGAGGAGTGCAACCCAATACTAATGTAAATTCTATGGATGCAAGCGATGTCTAACAGGTAGGATGCATGATCTAACAGAAATGACTCATATTGAGAGTGCTCTAGATGCAAAGCCAAGCAGTGAAATAGAACATGGGTTGCAAAACCATAAGTTCATACATCAAATAGCATGTTGCATGTTGTTTTAGACCAATACGCAAAGAGCAATTCTACGGAGATGTTTTTAGTGACATTCTTATGTGTAATTCAATCAATACTTGACCCACAGGACACAGCCCACTGAAAAGTTAAAACCACATCTTGAGAAATAAATCTAAGATTGAATACGAAAGGGAAACATAGGCATGTCACACAAAAGTGTTAACAAAAAGGCATTTCTTCGAAGAATTTAGGAAGTAAGAAATACACCTTTTTCCTTGATGAATCCTCTTCCTCTTGGCCATCAATTCTTCCATCTTGATTGAGCATAAGCTTTAGCCTACCTTCTTTCAGTAATTTCTCGGATCTTGCATGTCTCTAACAATAAAATATAATGAATTGCCCTATGTTAATTGGTGGGGCACATGAGAGGGAAAAAGGAAATAAAGCTGCGAGAGAAAATCATTACTTTGGATTTCAGATGAGCATTTAAAGCCTCCTCTGACAAAAGGACGACTCTAGGGCATATCCGGCACTTGAAAACAGATTTATGTCTCAAGATGTGGATTGAATTTTCATTAGGGACGTAGCTCTCAGTCATAGTTTTATGCTGAATACTGTCTGATACACCCCCACCAAAGTTGCTAATTCTACTTTTGCTTTCTCCATAAGTTACAGTTCCACTATCATCATCATTTGCCGGGAGCCCTATGAATAAGAACAATACCAAAAATCAGGCCTTAAAAGTTAAGACAATGAGAGAAAAAGAGGGCCTATATTATCTAGCATTTGGTAAAGATAAAAATGATAAGGAAGAGTTCTGAAGGATAGACACATGGAGGACCATTTATTCCAAACAAACGGATGTGGCAAACAGTTGCAATAATTACGCAATGTTTGAAAACTAAATTGAACTCTTCTAGGTAAATTCACCAATCTCATTATCACATCATAGTTTTCTGCATAATCACATCATCATCATCTTAGTTTTAAAAAGTGTGAGGCTTCATTAGGTGTTTTGGTAAATCTAGCCAAGATGCTGTTAGAGTAGCACATCGGCTATATTTTAACAGGTGCACGCCTCACGAAACATAGGCGTACAGCTTTGCTAAAAATTATTTATACTACTTGTACGTGATATCTTCTACATATAAAGAACTGTGAAAATACCAAAACGCATTAAACACCAACATAAATAATTAAAAGATGAACAAATGCCACATTTAACTTTTCTTGTTCACTAATAAGCTACCACTTTACACAAGGAAACCACTAAAACATCAACTCATAATTTACCTCCTTACATTTGAAAGTATCATGACTCATAAGGCAAAATTAATATTGCAAAATCACAACAACAACAACATCCAAGCCTTATTCCCAAAAGATTTTGGGGTCGGCTAACATGAATCAATCCATGATAATAGGAGCCAAAAAGAAAGGAAAATTAAGAAATATAAAAAGATAAGGTAAGATAAAATATAAGATAAAGATAAAGATAAAGATAAATATAAGATAAAAGAACATAAGAAAGTTAAAAGTTAAATAAGATAAAGAAGATAAAAGAAAAGAAAACAAGAGAGAGAAGAGAGAGAAAATAGATCAATCCTCCACACGAATATTGCAAAATCACAATGCACAAAAATATACACATGAATATCACATGGATAGCAAAGACTAGCAGATACAAGCATCCAACCTGATGAATCGAGAATCCCTTCATTCGCAGAGCTGTCTTCACTCTCATATCCTATGTCATTTGAGTAAATAATATTAATAATCATAAAAAGTAGCAGTGGAAGTCTGAAATCATGTGCATAAATGAATTTCAAGTTTGTAAGGTATAATTATTTCAAGTTCGTAAAGTGTAACTACATATAATATTATTATTATAAGGGCACCCAATGGTGAAACCCCGTATGGATTTCAAACCCCACTTTTTGGTTGCTCCCATTTGCCACATGGCATTTGTAATTGAATATTCAAAGAAGCCTCTTGACCCCTCCAACAATTGGAAGTGTGTCACGCATTTTTGTTATAATTTTAACAGTGTCAATGTTTTCCTTCCAAATTTCATCCAAATACCACTGACGTGAAATTTTAAAATGTTAAATATTCAAATAACTAAATACAAAAACCCTAATGTTCTTGGGTTTGTCAGACTTCATCTTGCAACACTATGTATCAATTGGGATCATGGTAGTCAATGGCGAGATATGGCGCGCGCCATATGCGCCATCTCCATGAAAAAGTGGTCGTCGCCATAGCGTCATATGCGCCATCGCCATGCGCCATGACAACTATGCTCGGGTTAGATGCTTCAAGGGCCTCTTGTTCTTTGACAATTGTGTCAGGCAACTTGCTATTGGAATCTGAAGACATGTTGATAATACAAACTTGAAAAACACAAAAACAAAGAAACTATGTGGTCTGGTGGTGGAAAAGTGAGGTAAGACGATCTCTACTTATGAAAACGAAAATAGATGTATTGGGAAGAAAGTATCTTTATTGGCTTCTTGAAGTGTCAAGAGGCATAAAAAAGGAAAAGGTGCAACTCAAGATCCTGAATCAGTTCTAAAGGTGAGTCCTTTTGAGGCCATTCCCCGACGGAGGATTTTGTAAATCCAAAATTCATTTGTCCCTTGGGCGTAAAATAAAACCAAAAACACCTAAAGTTTGACCCTAACAATATGCCAAGAATTTCACTTGAACTTTTAAGACTTGGGGTTTCATCTAAAAGGTCAGATTTGTATTTCTATATGGAGGCTCGTTTGAGAACACCAATCTTGTAATCCATGTGTTCGTTGTTGAGGTTTACCATATTAAGATTTGATGTTCATCTAAAAGGTCAAAAGGAGTAGACCAAAACTTCATACGTTGATTCATATTTTTATAAGCAACACACAGCTTAATAGTAACCACATCAATAAACCAATTAGACCAAACTACACGCAGAAAACCTGTTAAGTTTTGCATTCGCATTTCATCTAATGAGTTACTTTTTCTATCATAATCATAATGTTCTTCATGGCTTTCTTGTTCTTCATCTTCTTCTTCTGCTGATGCTGCATCTATTTCAGAACCGGAGGAAGATGAGGATGACTGGGAGGGAGCATCCCCATCCCCGTGTTCAAGCTTGTAAAATCTCCTTTTAATCATTCCTCTCCCCTCTAGTCTTCACACCTGCAAACAATCAGAGAAGCGGTTATCCCGATTTCCAAATCCCGTACATCTGCAAAGACATGAATTGGCACAATTTGCACCAGCCCATACGAGATGCACCCTCAGCCCGAGTTCGTTGTAGCACAGAAATAAAAAGAAATCAAACTTTCGGACGTCATATAATAATTTCAACGAACAATAATGAAATTATTGTCATGCGTAATGTAATAGGTTATGGAGCACTGAGACGCCACACCTTGGGAGAAATCATGGGCGGATGTGCTTGAGTGCAGGGGTGGGCTTCAGCCCAACCCAGTTTTTTATAGTTAATATAGGTATATGTTATTTTCTGAGCTTACCTCAAAATTAATTCTCAACCCAGTGCAAAGTTAACACCCAGCCCAACGCTCCAGCCCACATCCCAGCCTTACCTGCGCTTCTCGACCCACATCCCAGCCTTACTTACACAAATTAGAGCTGCCGGTTGCGAACGATTGAAGACCTGCGAAGTGAACCTGCGAGGAAGACCGAAGACGTGAACATCAGTCGTGCCGCCTACGTCGTCCGCCCACCACTGTCCCTGTCCGGTGTCCGCCTTTGGCCTTCTGCGGCTCTGGCCGCTTTGCGCCTCCCTCCGGGTAAACTCCAAGTCTCCAATTCTCCAAATTCAATTTCTGTTTTTGATTTTTGATTTTTTGTTGTTGTTAGATTGTGAATGTGTTCTTCTCCAAATTCTATTTCTAAGCTCCAATTGCCAACTTGTAGTTATAAGTTATTGTGTATTTGTGTAATAATCTATTATTATTTTTAGCATTTTAGAGTTTTAGGGTTAGGGAATCATTATGATTATTAATTGAATTTTCCAGTACATCATTAAATAGTGTTTAACTCATTATAAATTTAGAATGATTAAAGATAGAATTAAAGAGTAGAAATGATTTAGTTATTATACAATTGAAAATTGAGAATACTTATTACATGTTAGTAGACCCCGAATTCTTTTGGGATTAAAGGTTGGATGTTGTTGTTGTTGTATTGGAAATGTTTTTTAGAAATGGGATCTTTTGACGTTAGACGACATTGATGAGGGACAAGTCAAGAAAATATTTCAAACATTTGACAAAGACCTATAACACAAAATATCAGAAACACAAGAGGTGCAGGTGAGAAGGAAACTATGAAACTTCAGCCTATACTCATCTTAAAATTGCATAAAACTTATTCAGAAGGACTAGGGTGTTGAACAAAGTAAGATCTGAAATTGTACTAATTTTAGGCATTTAGTCTAAGGAGTTCTCAATGCCAATTTGTGCTTACAGTGTTGTTGTAGTCTTATTGTACTCGCTTTTCTGTGATGTGCCCATGGGAATAATCTCACTGAACTAAAATCTCGTTCTACAAAACATGATTAAGTAAATAAATCTTTTAATAACAACTTTTGTATGTTTTCTTTAAGAAAATCAACTATGAATTTCATATTCACATCACATTCAGATAAAGAATCTCAAGTGTATTAATCAGCTTATATGTGGTAAATATATACCCCTCATACTTGGGGCAAGTTTAGCTATTCACTGAATTCAAAACCCAGCAAACATAAAAACTAAAATTATAGGTGATTCAGCCAACTAAATCAAAGAAGCAAATCAGCCAAGGAAATAAGTGAAGCAAATCAACCAAGCAAATTATTGGCGGCACACTAAAATATTATAATTAATCTTTTTATTTGAATGGATTGATTTTCTTTCTCGATTTAAGTAATATATATATATATATATATATATATATATATATATATATATATATATATATATATATATATATATATCAGAAAACAATTAACTAGTAACAACTATTTTTTGTTATGGTCGTTAAAGATAAAATTTAATAACAATGAACACATTATTCAATGTTAAAAGAAACTTTTGTAATGACAAATTTTTAAAGTTGTCGTTATATGGTGGTCGTTAAAAGTCATTTCTCTTGTAGGGATTGATGATCTACATTGAACGAGACTTTGTCAATAATATAGATTTAGATTCTATTATTGATGAATTTTATATTTTGAAGTCGTGTAGGGCACAACTTAAATGATGTTTTGATGAATATTTAAAGTGTTGACACTTGACTTATTATTAATTTGTGTATTTCAATTTATTCCCCAGCCCACCCATTGTGACTTTCTGGATCCGCCCCTGGGAGAAATATACACACAGCAACAGCAGTGAGGTGCAAAGTTTGGAGAGGAATTTGGTCTGGAAGAAGTGCGTGCAGGTGACTGCAGTGAATATGGGTTGTGGATGCAGCGACGTTATGGGCTTCTATTTATCTTTCAAGAAGGGTTGAGACTTGAGATAACGGATGCTACGAAAGAAAATAGGAAAATAACTTTAAATAATATACTCTCTCCATTCTTCCTCTTCTCTTTGATTTGGAGCCTTTCTCTCATAAACCTTGCCAAAGAACTTACTGATCTGCAACTCTTCTTTTCCCATTTTATCAGTTGTATTTATTTCATTATTTTCTGAAGTTTGACCATTTTCTAATGCATCTAAGTTTCCAATAGAATGCATATCTAGATTAATGTCAAGAAAATCAAGATTGTCATGACTATGTAACACATTGTTAGCATCTTCATTTGAACTCTCCCCCTGAAGATGAGTATCAAAAAATACTTGATTTTCAACAAAAACAGTGTCCATTGAAATAAACATCTTTTTTGTTGAAGGATCAAAGCATTTATACCCTTTCTGTGTGGATGAAATACCTAGAAAGACACACTTAGTTCCTCTAGGATCAAATTTACTTGCAGTTTTGTCTGGATTTTTAATAAACACAGTGCAACCAAAAATTTTTAAAGGAAGAGTGCTAATCAATCTAGTAGTAGGGTAACATTCTTGAAGAATACTAATTGGAGTTTTAAACCCTAAAACTTTTGATGGCATCCTATTTATTAAATAGGTAGCATGTAAAACAGCATCTCCCCATAAATATTTTGGAACTTTCATTGAAAACATGATTGCACGTGTAACTTCAAGTAAATGTCTATTTTTCTTCTCAGCAATTCCAATTTGAGCAGGAGTATTAATGCAAGAAATTTGATGAATTATTCCCTTTTCAGCAAAAAATTGATTCAGATTTGTAGAAAAGTATTCACGGCCATTATCACTTCTTACCATTTTGATATTGGTATTGAATTGAGTTTGGACCATTGCATAAAACTGCTTAAATACATATTCTATTTCTGATTTTTCCTTGATTAAGAATACCCATGTCATTCTTGTATGATCATCAATAATTGTTACAAACCGTCTCTTTTCTTTTAAGGTAGGGACTCTAGATGCTCCCCAAATATCACTATGCACAAGAGTAAAAGGACTGGTAGGTTTGTAACTGTGGGGAAGATATGAATTTTTATGATGCTTTGCAAGTGCACACATATCACAATAAAACTGTGAAACATTTTTATTTTGAAATAATTGAGGAAACAACTTTTTTAAATAATGGAAACTAGGATGACCTAGTCTATAATGAATTAAGTACAACTCATTATTACTGGGAAAAGTAATAGTTTGCAGACAAGTATTTCTTTGACCTTGTTTATTTGATTCAGTCCCTTTATCAAAAATATAGAGTCCATCTTCTTCCCTAGCACTGCCAATCATCTTCCCCGATGCCAGATCCTGAAAAATGCAATATGAAGGATAAAATTTAACACAACATTGGAGATCTTCGGTTAATTTGCTAACAGAAACAAGGTTGCAGGATAGGTTTGGGACATGTAAGACTTTAGAAAGATCAATGGAAGTGGAAACTTTAACATTTCCAGTTCCTGCAATGACTGAAAGAGAGCCATCTGCAACTTTAATTTTCTTATCCCCTGCACAGGGTTTATAAGAAGAATATAGATCGGAAATGGAGGTCATGTGGTCTGTTGAACCTGAGTTAATGACCCAGGTGGTGTTTAGTTTTCCAGAACAGAAAAATGATGCAATTTTACCATTCTGAGCAAAAGAACAAGAAGGGTTTTCTGATGTAGGGTTCTTTTGGGTATTGAGAAATTGTAGGATTTGCTCTATCTGATCCTTGGTGAAAATTGGCTGCTTGAAATTGACTTGTTGCTCTTGATCAGTTTCAGGTGTGGCAGTATGTAGGGCCCTTTCAACCTTTTTTTGTCCTGCTCCAGGTGGTTTGCCATGAATCTTCCAACAAGTTTCCCTAGTATGCCACAACTTCTTGCAATGATCACACCAAGGCTTCTTCTTCTCATTTCCTTTGGCAATCATTGCTGAGGACTCTCCAGGTTCATCATGATGGACTGGAGTGTTATTCATAACCCTTTTCTACTATCTTCTACCCTGATTTCAGAAAATACCTCCCTGATTGAAGGTAGAGGTTTTTTTCCATGTATTCTTCCCTTAACTTCATCCATATCTCTATTAATTCCTGCTAGGAACATATAGACCCTGTCATTTTCCTCCCTCTTCTTGTGTCTTGCCAGATCCTTGGCACTTTCCCAGTCTTCAGCATCATAGCATTGGTCCAACTCTTGCCATAGAGATACCATCTCATTATAGTATGAGATGACATCTCTACTTCCTTGTTTGGACTGCCACAACCTTGTTTTTAATTCATAAATCTGAGAAGAGTTCTCAAGATCTCAATAGGTTTCTTTAATTGAATCCCATACCTCTTTTGCAGTTTTCATGAACATATGAGGTTTGGCGATTGATACATCCATTGAACTGAGAAGCCAGGCTGTTACCAAAGAGTTTTTTGACCTCCAGACGTTGTAACCATCATCACCACTCTTCTTCTCCTCTACTTCACCCGTTATGTATCCCAACTTTCCTCTTCCATCTATTGCCAGCTTGACAGACTGTGACCATTCTAGATAATTGGTTCCATTCAATCTATGTCCAGTAATGAGCATAGATGAATTAACCGAGGCCTGGTAGATTGTCATTTGGCTAATTTGGGAGTTAGGGTGATGGTTTTGTGAGTGGGGGAGAATCAGAGTGTTCAGTTTCCACCATTGTGGTGTTTAAACAACCTTCTCTGATACCATGTAAGTTTGGGAGAATAGAATTGATTGATTCATTCCATCACTCGGTTACAATATATATAGAATACAAGTCTAACAGTCTAACTGATGAGATCCTAAAAAATATGATCTGACTACCTTACCATACTTATGTAATACGTGTGAGTAAATACATCAGATAAGG